CAGAGAGTTTTATTTAATCAACGAATTATTTCATATTAATACTGGCCTCTAGCTTCTATTTCTCTGCAGATCTTCACCAGAAAGCATAGGCGGACTTTCAGTAACGAATCCAGTCAATGTTTAGATAACGTGTAATGGCAGCATCAAGTAGTAGTCATCAGGTTTTTCGAAAGAGGAGAAATCTCCAGTGACCTCTTCGGAATTCGAACTCCGGCTTTACGTTTGCTAGCCGGATGTACCAAACAGTTCCATCAAGAATACACGAAGTCAAAAGGAAGAAAATACCTTACACTTGCCCCCACTTAAAGGCCAACTAGAGAGCAGGAGACCCAATTGCCAGTCGCTGGCAGTGACAGCTTATGGCCCATCACATGTTAGTTTGGACGCTATGCTAGTCAGAATCAGCTTTGTCCTCGCCTGGACTCGAACTCTGTACCTTCCGATGCTACGTTAAGGGTAGGTTAAGTTAAGCTAGATGACGATAGGTTAATTGGTTATGCCAAGCGACCCAAGGATTATCTGCCAATGGGGACTGGGTCGTATTCACGGTACACATAGACAAAACCACAAAATGCAGCCAGGCGTTTTCCCCCGGATTCGATCCCAGGTCAAACTACAAGAGTTCAGCGACTTTAACGCCCGGCCGCCAGTGGGACGTTTGGGTAAAATATGGTTTTGAAAGTAAAACCCGCTAAATATGCGACAACTATTTAAACCCGCGAGAACGCGCGTCGGGCCTGGGAGGCCCGGTCGTTACAAAAATGCAATACAAAAATTTCTCCCTTTGGTGAAATTTTTCGACCTTCTCAGTAACTGCGTTTAAGATCAAGTACTTGTCATTCACAATCCTTTCCGGAATTTAACCCTCCATCTTATCTCAGAAACTGAGTAACCGGGCTTCCCAGACCCGAGGCGCGCGCTCGCATTGTCATTTAAAATTACGAAAGAGATCAGGCAGTTGCAAAAAGGTCTGCTATTTGAGTTATGACGATGAAATGAAAAGACTACAGAAACTATTTGCCAAAGTGCGGACTGATAAAGATACAATTAATAAAGAGGACGAAGAAATAGTTGGTGAAGAACAGTTTAGTGATCCCCAACCAATGAAGAGGCATTAGACTCAAGCGAATGAATTAAGTAATTTTGTGTCCGTCAGCGAATTGTTATCATGGCAAATATAATGTGACAAAATGGAATAAAAAAGAACCAAGACTTGCTGTGAGAACTCTTGCACACAACATTGTGAGAAAATTTCTCGGAAATGCTTGTGAAGCAAAATTTGTGTCCTTCTTGGCAACTGCTTATGGATAAAATAACAGCAAAAATTCTAGTAGTTTGTGCGAACATTTATATCGAATACATGCCCTCAAATTTGGAAGATAGAGAGATGCTCGATCCACAGATATTACAGAAATTAGAGCATTTGTCTGTCTTCTTTATTTTGGAGGACTCTACAAGGCTTCTCACGTAAACGTTCCTTACTTTTGGGTGACAGACGACAATGTCTAACAAACAGTTTTTTATTTTTAATGAGAAATGAGATGTTTGTTTGATGACATAAGAGACCGCCCTTCTAGAAGGGAGATAAATAAAATGGGTCCGATAATATATGCCTTTGAAAAGTTCGTTGAAAATTGCAAAAAAGTTTACAGTCTTTGAGTAAAAAACTGAAAATCACAAATTTGCTGTGCTATGTGCGAGAAAAATGTTTGTAGTAAACACAGCGCGATTATTTAGGATTTAGGAACGGGGAAGACGGGCACCACGCCTTTACCATTTGGTTAAATGGTTTAGCGCCATCTCCCCACTACGTGATCCCAGCCGTTTATTGATATTAGCAACAGATACATAATTTGAAATGAATACAAATTGCAATGATACATAATGATGCAATGAATACATAATTAGCAATGATAAATAGTTAGAAAGAAAAAAATGAAGCATAATGTATAAAAATAGCATAATTATAACGTACGAATTTGATGTAATCCAAAAATTTTAAACATAATATATGCCATAACTCTTTAAATATGTGCGGAATTTTGAAATAAATATGCGACGAAAAGAAATAGTAGTGATGAAGTAGTTTGTAGTTCCAACAAAAGTCTATAGTTCAAAGTCTATATTCAGAATCAGCGCGATTATTTGAAAAAAAAATGTGAAATGCAAGATTTATTTTGAAATTATTGTTGTAAAAATTTAATATTGCATAAATTAGTACTAAATTTCATTTGCTCTCGAAATCAGTTTAATTTTTGGGTAAAAGTTTACAATTGGGTGCCCCTTGTTTATTGGCGATTCTTTTTTGACGCCAAGATCGGCGCCAGGAAGTCACAATTTCAAGATGGCCGCTACACAAACCAAAATAAGAAGTCGAAGAATTCATAAGATCTGTGTCCATGTACACATCGATCTGTTTTTACTTAAAAAAAACATCCTAGGATTGCACAAACTAGGCATTGCGCACTGCCTTAAATATGTCCATGTACACATCAATCTATTTTCATTTAAATAAAATCGGGAAGCTAAACAAAGTTAAAGCTATCGTGGTAACCAGAAGTGAGGTTTCATCGCCAAAATTTTTAAAAAAATGTCGCCAATCGAAGGGGAAGCCAATTCTACACTAAAGCCAATTTTTGTTGTTAATGATAAATAATTTTTACACAAGCAATTTTTTATTTATTTATTTATTTATTTATTTATTTGGTTAAGAAATAACGCTTCGGGCCTACGGAGTCCGACTCCCGTCCTCGCGTAGCTAAAAATAGCGCGCGTCTTCGCGGGTTAAGTCTACTTAAAAGTTAAACCTTTATCAAAACACTACCCTACCTACCCTTTGATTTACCTCACATATATTTGTTTAGAACAGAAAGTTATGCAAATTAAAGCATTCGCAATAATATTTAAAAGATAGCGTGTTTTAACTGCAACTCATACCTTTATGCTTGAAGTGCCACTTTATTATTCGTAATTATTAGCGTCGATACAGCCACCTACGTTGAAAGAATATAATATTATTCAGGGCCGCTTTGTGCTATCTTTGCCGTCCGATGTTTAAAAAAAAAACACCTTCTGTAGTGATTACACAAATATAAAACCACTTACTTTGTTCTGGAGAGTGGATTTCGATTATTTCTACGTTCCAAGGTAGGTCGGCAAATTGTTACCAGTTTTTGCCAGGAAGTAGCTGACAGTTACGTTATCTCGATTTTTGCTTTAGATGTAAGTAACCCACCAGGAATAATCAGATAAAGTTTTTAGAATTTTAATCTCTGAGGAAGATGGTTACAGAGAAGGCGAAAAATTGGAATAATTTCGTATGTCATTCTTAGCGAAGTATTTTAGTTAAACATTTCTTTAAGTATACAGCTTCATTCGCGTATTTCACTTGATCTCCCCTCCACATTTTCAGTTCTGAAAATTTTTAAATGTATTCACGTAGTTTTCCTCTACCACATGGATTCATACGCTTGATGTATTTATCTTACTAATTTTTACCTTACTTTTTTATTTTACTAATTTTTTATCTTAATAATTTATTTGCTCGCGGAATTTGGGTGCATAGGCCCTGACTGATGAAGCAGTAATAGTGAAGAGCTGCAAGAAATCGGAAGTTTTGATGATACCGATAGTTCTGATCATTGCACCTGGAAAAACAGACTAAAAAGTGACGAAGACAATGCCAACGGTGAGGATAGCAATGGCCTGCAAGCTGCGGCAGACGACACAGACAGCACTTTCAGCAGCATTAAACAATTTGATGCCTAGGGATTAACAGTGGATAAATAAAAGGGAGCGAGATTCAAGATACAAGAAAACAAAATGAAGATACCTTGTTAGGTATTTTAATGCCAATTTTGCTATGTATTCTTATTGGAATGTCGGTTTCTTTTAAATAAATAATATGATGAGACTTATCGGTAGTTTATTCATGAATACGTTTCCTTTCTTATACGTTTCTACTGTAACTGCGTCCATTGGAATTTAACTTTTTCGCATAATTTTCTCCATTCGTTTTCCGTAAGATAAATTTATCACACATTGAGGAAAAATACCGTAAGATAAATTCCGTAAGATAAATTTATCACAAATTGAGGAAAAATACGAGAGTAAATACGAAAATTAAATGCTGTTGCGTGCGTACGGGTTCGTAAACAGATTGAATGCACACAGGTCCAATGATAGGTTAATAAAAATTAATTTTTATCAAAAGAAACACTTCAAAGTTCTGAAAACACAACGCAATGCAAAGCTCATCTAAAGAGGAAAAACTAACCCGGAATAGCTCCGATCTTGCGCTAAACCAACCGGCCACAGAGATATGTCATTGTCTGCTTCTCGAGATTACTGGAAAGCAATATAAGGGTCGAATTACGCTTGCAGCTAATACAGTGATCAATAACATTTATTCAATTACAATTCCTGTTATGGTGATACAGGGATGGAACCAAAATGTCACAAAATGGTCTTCAAGTTTGGCGACTTTTCGCGATTTCTCGCCAATCTGGCGAAAAATAAGTTGCCAAAAGCGATGTCGCTTGGCGAAACATCGCCATATTACCGAGATACCCATTTACTGAATGTTAAATGCACATGTTCCTGTATTCTTACTTTTTCGGCATAGCTTCTCTTTAGATTCTTTACGTAACAAAAAAGAAATAAAACAATTTTACTTATAATTATTCTAAAATTACCTATCTAAATACAAAATTCGTAACATTATTTATTTGAAAATTAATCCTATCTAATAAGCTAACCAATTATAATACTGTAACTCACTAAGTCCAAGCTTCCACGTTAGTCTTAAAAGTGTGATGGCGAGTAGTACAGATAGGAAGAGAATCGTGAAAGGGTGTAAATACTTCCTTCCATCTATTATTATGCATAAATAATTAATGTTTCTATGGAAACAATCGCATGTAATTGTTTATGACATTATTTTAACAATCGAATTCTAACATTTTATCATAAAAATAGATTATTGGAATGAAAAAACTTACCATGATGAGCGTCATTTTAGCATCTTCTTCTAACCTAAAGATGGTACGAACGACAAAGAAAACACTGGCGTAAAACATCACAGTGGCTACATTTCTGACGTCCCAAAAGCCCGTGATGAGAGGTATGGTAGACATTGTCCAATCACAACACAAGTTGCAAGGAAATAGCAACAGCCAAGCGTTCACCGACAAAAGATAGTTATATGTCAATTGACGAGTTGGCGTGACCGAAACTGCAGCTGGATTGTCGAGCCTATACAAGAGAAAGATTTTATAATTATTGTAAATTATGTATTGAATGCGAAAAACATTCGATATAGGGAAAGGGATGGAAGATCGTTAAGAAATATTAAAATTTGGAACCTTGATTCTAGAAGTTCCAAAAATATACATACATTTTTGGTTAAATAAATGCATTACATGTTTTATTTACATTAACATACATATTTTTCAAAGGCGCTCCGGAAAATTAAAAAAAAATATGAAGAAGCTTATTGTGCTTTTAAAACTGAGAACTGAGATTAGCTTTTTCTTTAGATACGTTTTGCATTGCTTCGTATTTATCCTTTTTAGTAGTTTGAAGTATAACTAATAACATTTTTACTGCATGATAATGTACTTGTACGAAAATATCTGAGGAAAATTTCGAGAGATCTGACACATTTCTTTTGATAAAAATAACTTTTATTAACTTAGTATCGGACCTTAGTATCGGAATCTATAACGAATCCGTACGCACGCAACAATACAATCACAACGAAGAAAAGTATAATCTTAAGGGGCTCATACACCTTAAACCCCTTATGATCTTCGAATATGCGACTGTTGCAGGAATTGGAATATTTTATTTATTTTAAAAGCAATTAGTACTTCCAACCTTTTACAGCTGACTACATAATATAGCTGCTTTGGAAACTAGTAACCAGAAAGTTTGTGTTGCCACAAATATTTTTGTAATTTAATTCTCTTTGTGACAAAATATTTCGCATGTCCACCTTGCGCGCATGCTATTTAAAAATGGCTAATGGTAATTGAAATTTGATAGAATTCTTTATATGGGCACTATTTTCAAACTGAACCAAAAGTCTGATGAATATTTTTATATTAAAAAAAATTTATGGACGAAAATATTGCAGAATTTTTTTAAATAAAACACATTTTATAAACCCAACTCCAAATAAAATAAAAATATAACATGAAATTGTTAGAATTTTTGGTTCGCAGTCGTTTCCAAATGTTATAAAAACTATATATCAAATATGGAACTAAATTATGCAACAGAATATTTGAAAATGTGCGCGCAAGGTGGAAACATGACAAAAAATTTTGTCACAAAGCGGATTAACTTATAAAAATATTTGTGGCAACACAAACTTTCTGATTACTATTTCGAAAGCAGCTATTATGTAGTCAGCTTAAAATTTGGAAGTATTGCTTTTAAATAAGAAGTTAACCAATTCTTGCAAAGTCATATTCGAAGATGTTACGGGTTTTAAGGTGTATGAGACCCCCTAAGTGTTTATACCCTCAGTACTGCAGTTCTCAGTATGAGTTCATTACTTTAACTAAAAACTGAATAATAAAATAATGAGAATATTTCATGAATTTTATTTATTTATTTTTTTAAAATAAAGATTATGTAGAGATTTTATGAATTTATTTTTTTAACATAGGAATTTACGTATTATTTAAAAAAAATAAAATTCGAATTCAAAAACGTAAAATAACATCACATACGTTATTTTCACATGCTTTATCAACATATTTAACCACAACAGAAGTCCTCCCTCTCTCTCTTCTTTTAACTTTAAGAGCACAGCAGAAACCTGAGCCATTTACGTATTTCTCTCTCAACTTAATTTTAAAGCATGAATCAGTTCATAAATGCATTGCAAGCACACAGAAAACTAAACGAGAGGAAATGCACGAAATAACGAACGTGAATAAATGTTAAAACACACACAAGTTCATCCTATAATCCCAGTATTACACATACTAATACTCTGTTTCCAGCATGATGAATAATTCACCGCAAGAATGTCGAAAATACCTCATGAAGTGCAGACCAAACTTAAAAATATGACGAACGCGGAGAAGTTTACGGATCTGTTAAGACTTAAGAAGAAAGCACGTGTCAAACTTGTCATGAGACTAATCCTACTTCCATCAATCATGTCTGATAGGAGTGGCCGCATCTGAGAATTTCTCCTGTTTTAAACAAGAAGTTTTGATAGATTCAATAAAACTCTAATATGATACTAGACTATAAAATAGCTAAAAGGTATACACATTCTCCTGTACAGCCTCTAAAGTACTAACATTCATTTTAACCCGGCGGAAGTCCCACCAAGAAAAGTTACTAGAGTGGGCGCGAGGGATATCACATACTCCAATATTTAAAATATAATAAAAATAGTATTATTTAGTTTTAAAACTTTTTTTTTTTGTTCTCGTGTATTATAAATAAGTGAATATAATTGGGGTTTCAAAAATTAATTTCCAAAATAATCTTAGTTAAAATTAAGATAAATGAAAATAATAAAAAAATAAACGTCATGCCTCTAAGTTTCATTGCATCTCTAATACACCATGCTTATTTTATTTCTTCGCACTTTAAACAAAATACATTTTTCGCACTTTCAGGTGCCTTACATAAAAGGCGCTTTACGCTTTTGTCATTAACACAGTTTGGTAGTAACTATGAACATGAGAAACAGATTATTGCACATTCCGATGTTAAACTGCGACTAATTGTATATCATAGTGTTTTCTCTTGAACTGTTACGCTTCTTTTCAACCGTAACACGCCATTACGCCAGAGAACATTCGTATTTGAGATATGACATTTGGCTTATCATCACTTTATATAAATTAGACTGCCGCGTGACAAATGTAATGTTTTAATGCAATATTTGATGTACAATTTGTAGACACATTAGGTTATTTCGAAGCAGGAGACATGAAAAATGAGCAATGAAACACTCGAATACGCGCCGAGTGTGCTCACCATTACACCACGAAGGCATGCAGGAGAAATACCTTATATACTCCCTCTTTTAAAGGGCGACGGGTATTAGGGAATCCAATCGCCAAATCCTGGTGGTGGAAAATTGGAGAATCATCATCCACCACCTTGTCCTTGTTCGGGCACAACTGCAGAGTTATTTCGAAGCAGGAGACACGAAAAATGAGGAATGCCCTCGCCGGGACTCGAACCTCGAACCTCTCGAATACGTGCCAAGTGTGCTGACTATTACACCACGAAGGCAGCTAAGAAGGCAGGAGAAACACCTTTTAAATTCTGCGCCCCGTGCAAAAAAAGGATGACAGTTCTGAATCTTCCGTTTCACTAGGCCAATTGAAGAAAATTTAACTTGCTTTTTTTCTCTCTCGAAAGCGCGACTTAAGATATATATTAGATCTGTATATAACGTTGTTCTACCATAAGTATTTTGATAGAAAATCGGAATTTTTCTCAAATGACATTGCAATTTTTTTCCATATTTCGATTCTATGGTATAAATTTCGCCTAAATATTAAATTTTGTAACATTTTGTGAGAAATTAAAAAATTTATCTTGGCGCACTTTTTTCAGTTTGCGCCAAGAATAATTCACTTGGCGAAATTTTTAATTTATGGTAACCTATTTTAATTTCACTTTCATTGTGCGAGACTAAAAAAAAAAGCTACATTTTCATACTTTCAAATAATTTTAACAAAGTAAGCAAGCCTAGAAATACATCTACTTTAAGGTGATGGCAAAAATTTTATGAATTTTAATTCAAAATTTCTTTTCTAAAACTTTATAAAAGTTACTAAAAATACAAATTAAAAAATATATTAGAAAGAAGTTAAAAAATAAATTAGAAAATATCTGCGAATTTTATTTGGACTGAAATAAATTTGGAATTGTGGAATCACTTTACGTTTGACAAAAAAGAATTATTATTCAACACATACCAAATTCAATTAACATTGTGGAGCTAAAATTGTAAGAGCTAATGTTTTAAAAACTACTCGTGCGATTTTGTACAAAACTTTAATTTGAGTCGTAGAATTGAAATATGGAAAAAAAAAAAAAATGTGTCATTTCAGAAAAATTCCAATTTTGTATCAAAATACCTATCTTTGAACAATGTTATACATAAATATAATTTATATCCTAAGTTGAGCTTTCGAGACAGGAAAAACGCAAGTTACATTTCGTCAAGATGCCCAACTGAAAGGGAGATATAGAACTGTCCCATTTGCGCAGAGTGTACCACAAGCGAATACGCTATTCACTATAGAGTACCAGAACTTTTAACAACACCGCCAGGAGCATTTTTTTCCTTCAATGGTATGGCACCCCAGTGAGGACCGGGGCAATCATGTCAATTTTTTTGTGAATCTACCATTTATTCCTATTCCCAATAATGTTTTTCTGTTTCTTAATATTTAAACTATCGAAGTCTTTATGAACACAACCAGTCCATCTTATGTAATTTCTATTGTAATGATTCACTTCTGGCCTGGCCAGAAATAATTACTTTACAGAAATTAAATCCATAACGTTTGGGTAATTCACTGCATATAAACCTGGAAGTTTATTTTTTTAAACAGCATGTACGACGCACGAATCAAAGACAGAAATTGCTCGAAGAGCAAACTTGAAATTAACTTTTATTAATGACTAAAATGTCATTATCGTTTATTTTTAACTTTTAAGTACTGCTGTGCTTTTCAAAAATATGATTTGAGTTTTTTCGAAACTGATTATACTATTTGTACTGTTAAACTAATTTTAACTGTCTCTCAGAGATATTCAGCTTTATTATGGCATATAAAAGCGTAAAATTCGGCATATTTATTTAATTCTTTTCATAAATCAATTTAGTAAATTTATACCACTAATTCTTTACAAAATCTTAAAAAATATGCTAGTAACTGATATTAAAAACCTGTCTAAAATCAAGATGTAAGTTAATTGATTCGTAGTCCGTAAAAGTATCATACAATTTCTGGATGAGAAGAAAAGAACTAGTTTGTAAATAAACTTAATTAATGGCATTTTAATGAGAAACAAAAGTTATGGCAGCAATTTATTCTAAATTTGTCTAGGTGAAAATTAATTAATTATTTACTTTATAGGCATAAAGTACAGAAACAATTAAAGTATTTCGAAATAAAGAAATGAAATTACAAATTGTAGAACTTTACTTATTAATTAACGTATTTTGAAGGTCACATGAAATGGTTCTCACATACATTTTTAACGGAAACTTGCAAGTTTTAAACTACTAACTAAACACCACGTATATTAAAATTTATATAACTCTTGAATGTTTCCATGTTGTATACCAAACAACAGAAAGTAACAGCTTGTATACAACAGCAGTTATTCTTTAAAATTCAACGCCTTTAAAAGGATTTCAAAACAGTCACCTGCTGAAGGCTGGTACAAAGCGGGGTCCCATGATCTTGCATCTGAGGTATGTGGCTCCCAATGCGGCTGTCAGGAGCAGCGAAACTCTAAGTAGCTTGTCTCGAAGCCACGGTGATACTCGACCCAGCATTAGATAGCGCATACTTTGTACTCGGCGCTGGTTCTACAAAGAAATAGCAAAAATAAATTTTATTACCTTTATATATTTGAGCAAAAACCAGTTCCTAGAACTAAAGTTTTTAGTACATTAAAAATACACTCTACCTAAACGGAAACAAAAATATTTATTACCGGGGGTTATTTTTTCTTTAAACCTTACAGTAGTAAAACATTTAGGTAACAAATATCTCTTGTTCCCTTTACAAACCAATATGTGACCACTTAAAAGATGTTTAAAGCTTTCATCTATTTACTAAGTAATAAATATCGTTAACCTATCCTCCGATGGGTCGAATCTACGAACTTATCTAGCCGAAAAAGTAGACGCCACTGAATACGATCGTGGTTAATGTTATCATTCGGATATTCTTTTCAAAATGGCGAAGTCGCGCCCGTTTGTATACGAAAATATGGAAAATCTATAGTTCATTGCGATCAAAAATTCGGTTAATATATATGATAAATATATTATATTAGAATACATTTTTAAACTTGAAGTTAAATCGCCAAATAATATAAACTCACAAGTAATACAAGGTGTCTCACTCAAAAGTGGTCTCGGGAACCAAACTTTTACACGATATACCTTTATTTGTACTTTTCCGTTTCGCCGGCGCAAATCTTGCCAAGCAAGACTTTGTTGGCGACAGCGTACAGTATATACATAAAAAATGTTAACAAATGTGTTAGTTCTAAGAATTTTTTATTTTGAAGGCATAAACATTTTAATAGGGTTTAAAATATTGTAAAAAGCCAGTAAATAAAGACAATAAATTTCTAAAAAGACATTAATTTAAAATTTACTATACTTTCATGGTTCAACATCATGATTTGCCGGTTCGTATCACGTGATCCCAAGTGATCTCATCTCACGTAAACAACGCTACAAACAACTAATTCTATCAGTAATTATCTACATCAATTCCAAGTTAAATCTTAACTTGGAGTATAAAGGGGTACGAAAAAAATTTTTTTACACTCATTTATGTTGTCTATAGGACCATTGCATGTCATTATGCTTACTTTTTCATAACTTTTAATAAATCATAACATTGCGCCCCTGAAAGGGTTAAGTAACTTTTGCATTAAAGACATTACGAACAATGCACAAACAAGCCTTTTTATTTTCCTAATTAAAATTCTCTGAAGCATTATCCGGATGGACAAAAATATGGAAACACCTTCTGAAATGCATGTTTGAAAAGAAAGATTTATTTTAATGAAACATGCAGGTGGCGCTGGCGTTTTTGACACTGACGCCACTATACAACTTCGTAAATGTGCTAAACAGTTCAGTTGTTGTCGGAGTAGTTATGTGAGGTTGTCATTGCATTATGTCAGAGTTAACAGACTTCGAACGTGGGCAAATTGTTGGAGCACATATGGTAGGTGCTTCCGTAAGCAAGGTAGCCGAGTGTGTTTCGTGTTTCAAGAGGTACTGTATCGAAGATTTATTCCGCATATGTGAAAAGCGGCAAAACAAACATATGCTAAATCACAGCGCGGACGAAAGTGTGTCCTGAGTGATCGTGACAGACGATCATTAAGGGCAATGTGACGAAAAATAAGAAGACCACACTGCAAAAGTTACTTCTGAAATGAATGTTGTGTTACCAAACCCTGTGAGTACCAAAACAATTAGAAGGGAGTTCATAAACAGGGAATTGCTGGCCGTGCTGCAATCGAGAAGCCATCATCAGTGATGCTAATGCCCAGAAAACAGGTGTTTAAGTCATAAAGCCGGGACTAGAGCAGTGGAAGCGAGTAATATGGTCTGACGAGTTTCTTTCTCATTGTTTCCCACTTCTGGCCGAGTTTGTTTAGTCTGGAGAACGCCATCTCAAGCCTATAACGCCATAACTGCTTGTTGCCAAGAGTGAAACATGGTGGGGGTTCTGTTATGGTTTGGTCAGCCATATCGTGGATTCTCTGCTAGCCCATGATAAACTGTGACAGGGTACATGACTGCCAAGACTTATGTGAAACATTTTGGCCAATCAAGTTTTCCCATGGTACAAACTTGTTCCCCGATGGTGATGGTGTCTTCCAAGACGGACAAAGCCCTGTTCACACATCTCACATTGCCCAGGACTGGTTTTCTGAGCACGAGGATGATTGTCCCATTCCCCCTGGCCACCACAGTCACCAGACTGAATATTATCGAACCTTGTGGTCTACATTGGAACGGAAAGTGCGTTTGTCGTATCCACCGCCAACATCGTTATCTGAACTTTGCCACGTTTTGCAGGAAGAATGGTATAATATTCCCTTGGCAACATACAGAAATGTATTTATCCATTCCGAGAAGACTGCAAGCTGTTTTAAATGCCAACGGGTTTCCTACACCATATTAAGCAAAGAAACATGTTTTTTTAAATGTGTTTCCATATTTTTGTCCAACCCCTGTATATGTCTTTCCCTACATATTTATTAAATAAATTAAATTCCATAAACGACACAGTGCTTAGCGCCGCACTGTCCGGGTACGATTCCCGGAGAAGGCATGTATGTATAGTGTAAATGTATAGTGTCAGAGTGGCACTTTAGATATGCGGCGAGCCGAAAGTCCTTTCGTGTGGTTTGATGGAAGGGGAGAGGGCTGGGAGACCCTCGTACCCTTTCCCCCGGGTGCTCTCCGTCAAAATTGGGAGAGGAACTGAGCTAAATCGCACTGTTACCTGTAAGGTGCTCAAGGCTGTTGCCAACGGCAGGCGTACCTTGCGCTCCTTGCCACAAGGAATTTCGTGGGTTTGGGCTGATGTTCCTGACAGGCAAATGAGTATAAGTAACAACCACAGCTATTTTGAAGGATATTTTTACTTCCTTGTACGAAGTAAAAAGGAAGTATTGTAATCGCGAAAACGTTCGAGGCCAGCATATTTCAACGAAATATCCATTTGACCGCTTTCGAATGCAATTTTAACGATGATTTTAGTGATCTGTACGTAGGACAGAATTAAAGAACTCTTTTCCTCCAAAAAAATTAAAAAAAATGCTTTAAAATGAATTCTGAAGAGAATTTTTGGTGGCGTCTACGAACGTATGTACGTACCTCGCATAACTCAAAAACGAGTAGCTAAGAACGTTGAAATTTTGTATATTAGAATGCTAACGCAGGTGTGCACTCGTATTTTGGTTGCAATCGGTCTCGCCAAACGTTATAAATATATTTTATATAGATATATCCACTCTGTTCCGCTTTGATCTCAGTTTTTTTTTATTATATATTTGTAAATTGTACATTTTTTGATTTAAAAATGATTGAGAATTCGTTTTCTTATCTTCCGGTTTAAGGTTTTATGCCTTTAAGTAAATTGTATGCAATATGTTTACAATTATCAAAATTTTAAATTTTTAAGTGCCGATAAGCCTAATAATTTTTTGTTGGCAGCCATTGCTTGTTTACATTTGAACTGCAGGATAGTGGATTTGTTGCCAATCTAGAGAAACTTAGCTTCGCACCACAAAGAAACTCATTATTATGCGAATTACCTCATGGTAATCCTTTCTGGAATTTTTTCGAGGAAGGAATGGGAAGATTTCGTAAGTTATAATACAATATTTTGAGTTTACTATTTTGCCTTGTCGGGAAGTGAGAACTGAATTATTGCATGAAAATTACTCAATCGTAGTGTGAAAATTTTTTGTTTGTTTGCTTTAATTCCTTTATACATCGTTACCTTATTATAGTACTTGAATAGAAACATGTGGCAACGTTCGGTAATCTTTAAAGATATAAATTTTGTGCTTCTGAGATAATATGAACGAAAATAATACTGTTAATGAACCTAGCGCCACCCAACCTCTGGTAAAACAAAGAGGTGAATTTTTAAAGAATTTATTCATTGGGGTTTATGCGTGTCGGCGAAGTCGATTTTTCACTCCGTAAGTTTAAATGAAAAAGAAAAAAAATTATAATTTTATTCCGTACAAGGAAGTCATGTGGTGTAAACATGAGATTTTTTTTCCATAGTTTCATTTATCATTCGGTTAATTTGTCAAAATAACCGTGAACAGCGTGGTCACATGAAAAGTCGAAAGCAAATAGCATGAAGCATTTAGTCAGCAGTCCGAGTAGGAAAAATAAATGTATTTGGCTCTTCGATAAGAAGTTTCTTTTGAGATGCAGTAACGTAAATCGAATTAATTATAAAAAAAAAAAAAAAAAAAAAAAAAACTGAGCTTTCTGGTTTTATATTACGCCCAAAAGGGCGTTTTTTAACTTTGTGTATTACCTTTCTTTATTATTAATAGTTTTTCGACTTAAACATAAAATTCGTTCAACAGCCAATATCGGAAAATAATTTTAAATGAGCATACATTTAGAATTTCAATTCGTACACATTCTCGCGCGCTGGAGATAATTTTTTTTATTTTTATTTTATTTATTTATTTATTATTTATTTTATTTATTATTATTTTTTATTTTTTTATTATGTATTTTTTTTTTTTTTTTTGTACGTGCTCGCTTGGTCGTTTAGTTTGTTAATAAAATATTCGTTAAAGTTTTACAAAATAGCACATCGATAATAAAATAAATTCCAAATTTGTGTTTTCAGATGCTCATATTCGGGTGAAGACGTACGTTATTCAAAATTGGATGCCTCTAGGTATCGTTGTTTTATCACAATACGATAAACATACATACATTTATGCAGATTTTTCATTATTCAATTTCTTTAAATGTAACACAGGGTGATGATATTTGGTGGCAACAATTTGAAAGTGATAAGCCGATTTTAGCGAATCAACGCAAAATGCCAAATCGAAATGGTTTTGGTTTGGTTTATTATATTATGGCAAAGCACTCGAGGGCTATATGCCTTAAGGGAGGGATGCCTTCGCGGAGGACTTTTTGAGGTAAACTGACTCGTACACACGTTACACACGGGGAAAACCACTAAAACACCCGTGTAGCCAGCCCGTTCGCGGGATTCGAACCTCGGACCGAACTACCAGTGTTCAGCGACGTTACCGCTCGGCCGCTGGTGGGCCCCCAAAACG